TGCATCCGTTTCTTGAATTATCTTAATTAGTGTTACATCAATCCTGGAGCCTTATGTTTGGTCAATGCCTTCAGTGCCACCTGCACTCCTTGCTTTAGTACTAGCAGTTCTTAACCATATGCTAACTCCTAAAATGGTTCAAAATTTACCAGTTCTTCTTGGTTACAGTGACTTTGTATTCTTTCCATCTTCTTTAGACACTTATGCATCATTCAATATTTTGCCTACAGAATCCTTCAATATATTACAACTCAAATCTTGAATTTTTCATCAGTTCTTTCAGACTGAGAAATCCTGAGTGTGTTGTCATTTGGTTTTCTAACTCCAAGCTTTTATACATTCATTATAATACTTTATCTTTTCATGACACCCTTTGAAATATTCTTTATAACTTATTTGCATCATCATTGCTTTCATTCACTTCAGCTATTCTGTGCTCAGGATCATGTATAGAGTCACTGCTGACATCCATTTTGGCATTTTGTTTCTTTTCTATCTCTTTAATGATGTTTTGTTTTCTTCATGTAGTATGTTCTTAATATCATCTCACAACTTGTCTGGTCTTCAGACATTAGTGTACAATGCCATCAAATCTGCTCTTGAGATGACCTCAAAATTCAGGTAGAATATATGTAATGTAGTGCTTTGGCTCTGTAGACTTTTCTTAATTTTTTTCTTCAAATTGAGCTACATGTGAGCAATTGACCATCTGTTCTGAAGTTAGCCTCTGGCCTTGTTCTCACTGATGTTACTTGGCTTTTTCATTATCTCTCTTGTAGTCAATTCAGTTCCTTGTATTCTCTCTGGTGAAGTTCACCAAAAGGAATAATAAAAACAATAAATGCAAGGAAAATAAAAATATGATGTAGAATTAAATTAAATTGCACTTATAGGAGTTACTGTGTGCCATTGAGTTAGTTCTGACTTTCAGCCAATGAAAACCCAGTGGGTCACACGCACCTGACCCATAACCAATCATGGCAATAAAGCAAAACAGGGTAGTGTTTCATTCCATTTGTTTGAGGATGACATGAATTTGGAAACTAGGGAGCGACTCTTAACAACAACAAATGCTCTTTGCTGCATAATTAATCTAAACATTAATTGTAAAGCAATGCATAGTAATTAATTATCTAGAAAGAGCCTCTAAACCTTTCAGTTCTCTGTTCTATTGTTGAAATTGTTGTTGTTGTTGCTGATATGATTACAACTCACATCATCTGTAGGCACAGCAGAAAAAAACACTGCTTGGTTCTGTGCCATCCTCACAACTGCTGCTATCTTATTAGAACAGAGACTTGAAAAAAGTTTCTAGGCTTTTTCTAGACAATTAATTACCATGTAGTGCTTTAAGATTAATGTTTACATTACACAGAAGATAATATATGCTGTTGTTAGGTGTCATGGGAGTGACAAGTGTCCAAAATTCAAATCCATGTGCTAACAATTAGAAGTGCTCCATAGGGTTTAATTGGGTGAGATATTTGCAGACACAGATTGCCAGGACTTTCTTCAGTGACACTACTGGATGGATTCACACTACCAATCTTTAGATTAGGAGCTAATTACAAACTGCACCACCCAGGGACCTTGAGGAGAGACAGTGAGCAATTTCCCTGCTGGTTCCTGTGCCTGTCACTCACGCAAGAGCTCACTTCATAGGATCTTAACTCCTCTTTTTCACACTATGTGATACCCAGTCCATCAGAGTCCCAATAAGGACACTGTGCTTTCTCTATATGCTCAGAAAAGATGAGGGAAGCCAGAGTCCTTGAGGCAGACATGGAGGCATGGAAACTGAAACAGTGATCTGAGTAAGGTGAGGAGGCCAATGGCTTTGCCTGGGTCACTTGTATATTCACTGTGCTGCACTGCTCAGCTCTGATAGCGCAGTGGTTACAAATCGGACTGAGAAAGAACCTTAAGGTCAGCAGTTCAAAACTACCAGCTGTTCCGCAAGAGAAAGATGAGGCTTTCTGGTCCCATGAAGATTTCCAACGTCTGAAAACCTGTACAGGGTCACTATGAGTCGGAACCAACTCCACGGCACATAACCACCACACCACTCAGCTGTCTCAGGCTTCTTGGGTTGTGAAGATGCCACAAAAACTAGACCAGGGCTAGTGCTACTTGCAAGAACACAAGCATGTGGCTGAGCAAATCTGGGCACTAGCACTTATGGAGAGGTGCATACACAGGGTCCAATTTATCACCTACATGTGGCACCGTGGGCTAATGCGCTAGACTGCAAAGTCATTTGAGCCACATGGTCAGTGGTTCAAGTGCACCAGTTGCTCCTTGGAAACCCTATACAGGTTCTCTGTGGGTTGGAACAGACTTGATAGCACTTAACAACAACAATCACTATTCCTGGTGTGGCACTACAGGATAATGAACTGGACTGCAAGGTCAGTTTGAGCCAGAAGGTCAGTGATTCAAACCACCAGCCACTCCTTGAAACCTATACAGGGTTGCTATGAGTCGGGACTGACTCAACCGCACTTAACAACATTTACCAGTCCTGGTGTAGTGCTGCTGGTGAATGCGCTGAACTGCAAAGTCAGTTTGAACTGCAAGGTTGGCTATAGAAGCTCACTAACCTTAACTCGGAAAACCTACTCAGAATCGTTGTGATTTGGAACTGCTGATGGCATTTAACAACAACCACCACCATTCAGTTCAAACACATCAGCTTCTCCTCACAAACCCTCTACAGGGTGGCTATGAATCAGAACAGACTCGATGGCTCTTCACTGAAACACATTTTGATTATATACAGGCTTATGAATGATTACAGACTTCCAGAAGAATAGTCCCTCTTTTCTCAAAAATAAGTTGAAAAAATATTTGATTTTTAAAAATTTAATAACTATTTTACAGAGATTAAAAATCAAAAGTAGGAGGCAAATAATATGTGAGATTGTTGTTGTTGTTAAGTGCCGTCGAGTTGGTTCTGACCCATAGCGACCCTGTACAGGGTTTCCGAGGGTGTAAATCCTTACGGGAGTAGAAAGCCTCATCTTTCTCCTGCGGAGCGGCTGGTAGTTTCGAACCGCTGGCCTTAAGGTTCGCAGCCCGATTCGTAACCACTAAGCTACCAGATTACATACTGCTATTTAAGGTACATAACCTTTTTGAGTAAAATATCAATTTATTATAGCTAAAAGCATTGTATTATGCCTATATATTAATAAAAGGAAAATAATATTGAAATATTAACACCTGTAAGAAATATTTACATTAAACAGAAGTAAAATAAAATAATTTTTTATTTAAGGTAGACACTGAAACTTTGCAGATGCCATATTCATTCTTTCATTTATTTATGAGTTACTCAGAAAGTCTAAAGTAAGTAAATGTTGTAATTCTTCTGGAAGGTTGATTTGAAATGGAGATATCAGCATATAATAGAAGTCCCAACAGGAGAGGCAGCCTAGGCCATCAAGCCCCAGTGTCTGCCTTTCAATGCAAATGTACTGTTAGTTGAATACAACAAATCAAATGACCTCATTTGATCCCTGTAACCACCTCATTAAGTAGACTATCCTCTGCTTTTTTAGATAAACCAAATCAAAACCACAGATAGGCAAATCAAATAATGATATAACATAAATGGCAAAGAATTTGGGAATTTGCAAAGATATCAAGATACATTCCTTGCAAATGTTGACAATCTACTATATAGAAAGAATGGTATTATTATTGTTAGGTGCCATCAAGTCAGTGCTGACTCCTAGTGACCTTACTCACAGCAGAATGAAACACTGCCGGATCCTGGGCCAACCTCACTACCGTTGCCACATTTGAGCCCATTGATGCCACCACTTGGCCAATCCATCTCGCTGGGGGTCTTCCTCTTTTTCTCTGACCCTCCACCTTACCAAACATGACTATTAATAATTCCATTGTAGAATTATTAATTCATTCAAATAATTTATTTCATTCTTCATTGGCAATGTCATTCATTGAAAGCAAAGTAATACTCAGCTTAGATGATTTGCAAATACATCTCAAAAATCAGTCCATGATATATCACATAGCTAACTAAATGTTAAATGGTAACATCATATTTAATAACAGTTCTAATGGTTTAAAAAGAACAGTTCAAGATCTACCTCGTCTATTTAGCAAGTAATACTATATTTCCCACTCATTTTTATTGGGAAACCTATTAAAGAAATGTATGTATATGCATGTGTATGAGTTTGTAGCATGTTTTCTTCAAATCATTGCACTTAAACAGTGTAATCCTATACAATATAAATTCTTTAATAATGGAAGATGCTATGAAAGATACTGGTCCATAAAAAAAAAAAAAAAGAAGAAGAAGAAAGAACAGGAGACTGGAAATAAAAGCTCTAAAACTAAACCAACACAAACTCACTATCTTGTTATACTGAATGAATTTGCAGACACAAAGCTTCTGTGACCATTTGATAAGCCTGAAAAATGAGAAGAATGTGCAATGACATCATTAATATCCACTCACACTTCAAAAAATCAAAAATCTATTGTCTTAGGATCAACTTCCAAGCACACCGTTCTTATGGCTATCTAAAAGTCAATTTAAAGTAATTACATTTATCAGACTAAGCAGTACAGATTCAAAGGTGTCTTGATATGAATAGCTGTGGCTGACTTTGAAAAAATAAAATAAAATAATAATAGTAATTCAGTCAAATGGAAGGGATTATGCAAAATAACCCCTGCTAAGTAATGAATATTCTAGGTCTGTGGTATATTGCCATTATATACAGAACAGCATTTCAATATAATGTCTTAAAATTGTTTAATTATTTAAGATAGAGCAAATCAAGAAATATAATTCTGCCATTGAAATTGTGTATGTTTTATACCAACAATTAAATTCCCAAATCCTAAAAGTCTGAAAAAGACATGTTATTATAAAGTATAAACCTAAGGGTAAGAACATTAATAGTGAAAAAGGCTAACACCATTTGACATTACAATGCTGTGTACAGTTCTTGGAATCCAAGTCTTCAATTCCACTGGCATGTGCAGTCTACGGGTTCTTGGAGAGTATATAGGATTTCAGTGCCATTTCCTGAGCAATACAATGGCACAGTCAAGTTCCGTACTCCATTTTCTCGGCAACATTTGCAGAATCTTAGGTGACTCTCAATATTGATGTTATATATAGTAGCTGATGGACACTTTCCATCACAAGATGCAACATTTACCTGCAAGAAAAAAATAGTGTTAGAAACACTGGTTTTCACTAATAAATCAGATAAAATAAGTCTTGTTTCTCAAGATTTTGATTAGCAGATATGTCAGAAATTGGTGGAGGTTATGTGCCGTGGAGTCAAAACCAACTCATAGTGATGCTGTACAGGGTTTCCAGGACTGTAAATCATAAGGGCAGCAGAAAGCCTTATCTTTCTCCCATGGAACAGCTGGTAGTTTTGAATTGCTGACCTTAAGCTTTGCAGCCTGATTCATAACCACTACGCTACCAGAGCTCCTTATGTCAGAAATTAGTAGGGTGAAATATAACTCAGATGAGCCAAAGGGATGTTAAATGGTCATGCCTAACAGAGCAGGCTGGCAAAATTCAAAGCATGAAATGTACACTTACAGCTAGGTGGGAATACAGACTGCATTAGAGATCCCTGAGGACACAAACCATTAAGCATTCAACTTCTATTGAAAAGGTTGGCGGTTCAAAGCCACCAAGTATGACATCTAGAAAGGTAGACCTGGCGATCTGCTTCTGAAAGGTCATAGCCTTGAAAACCTGATGGAGCTGTTGTACTTTACACAGACAGGGTCACTAAGAGTTGCACTGAGTCCATGATAACTAACAGTAACAACATGGACTATATTCATTACGCTCTAACTTCCCATTGTAAACTGCATTATGTCATGACTTAAGTAGACTTCAGAATCCAGTCACACTGATTCTAAAGGGGACAAAGCTGATATCTACAACTATTTATGCTGAGTAGAATTGCATAGTAAAAACAATATGTAAACAAATATACTTATTTAATTTCCATCTGTCTAGATTAGAGTCCTGGTGTGGTGCTGTGGGTTTATGTGCCAGACTGCAAAACTGTTTGAACTGCAAGGTTGGTAGTTCAAGCTCACCAGCTGCATCTCAGAAACCCTATACAGTGTCACTATGGGTCAAAACTGATTCAATGGCACTTCACAACAACAACAACAAACTAGAGAAATGATTGAAGTTGTTAAAGACTTCATTTTGCTTGGATCCACTATCAAAACACATGGAAGCATCAGTCAAGAAATCAAATGGCATATTTCATTAGGCAAATCTGCTACTCAAGACCTCTTAAAAGTATTCAAGAGTAAAGATATCAGTCTGAGGACTAAGGTGAGCCTGACCCAAACCATGGTATTTTAAATAGTCTGATACACATGTTAAAGGTGGACAATGAATAAGGAAGATTATAGAGGAATTGATGCATTTGGATTATAGTATTGGAAAAGACATTTAAAATATACCATGGACTGCCAGAAGAAAAAACAAATCTATGTTGGAAGAAGTATAGCCAGAATGCTCCTTAGAAGCCCAGATGGCCTGACTTCAACTCTCATGCTTTGGACATATTAGGAGGAACCAGTCCCTGGAGAAGGACATCATGCTTGGTAAAGTGAGGAGTCAGTGAAAAAGAGAAAGATCCCCAATGAAATGGATTGGCCCAGTGGCAGTAGTTATGGGCTCAAGCTTAACAACATTGTGAGGCAGATGCAGGAGCAGGCAGTGTTTCATTCTATTGTGCAATAGGGTCACTATGAGTAGGAATGGACTTGACAGCTCCTAACAAGAATAAGAGATTGGTTGTATCATTCAGAACTATTAATTATGTATGCTAAGAATAATTAATTGATGCTTACTCATTAATACTTTTAATATTATATTATAAAAAGAATCTCAAAGTTATATAAATGCTGGGATTTTGTAGGCTTACAAACACTTATTAGTACTGCGATACATATACTTCTGGAAACACATACCCTTTATGTTAAAAATATCATTTTTCTACTTACAGAGCTTTGACTTATGCAGTCCTGTTTCCTTATAATTGTTTTAATAATCACTCTCTGGCATACTCTTTCTTCTCGTTTGCCTGGTAAAATATGTAACATATTTTAATTTAATGAATAAATATTCATTAAAAGACTCATATAAAATTGTCTCAAGTTAACTAAATATATGAATATCTATAATAGAAAATTATAAAAATAGTGTATTTATATAAACCATATCGCTGTTTTGAGAAATATGTAAGCTATTCACTCTTACATATTTTATGTACAATGTTTCTTTTTACATTCCAAATAGAATTTTCCTTATATGTTCTGGACTTCTATTCTTTTTCTTATTATCTTAGAATATCTTAACAACAAATGTGAAAACATTCCACACATGTAATAATGCTAACATCAACCTGTGATAAATGTGTGTTTATAAATTTTTTAGAATGAACCATGGTATATATGAATAAATAAATGCATATATGTATACATACATCAATCACCAGCATCATCATTAACAAGAATTGTAACTGAACCTTTCCAAACTGAAAGTCAGGTTAAATTGTAGAACCTATGATATAGGATTATTGTGAATCAAAAATAGAGTACATGAAACTAAGCAGAGTTCTTGATTTATATGCTGTTATTGCTTTCAGCAGGAGCTATGGTAGCATAGTGGTTAGGAATCGGGCTATGAACTTTAAGGTCAGTTGTTCGAAACTACCAGCTGTTCTGTAGGAGAAAGATGAGGCTTTCTGCTCCCATAAAGACTTACAGCCTTGGAAACCCAGTACAGGGTTGTTATGGGTTGGAACCTACTCAACAGCACTTTACAACAACAACAACAACACATTCAACAAACTCTATTATAACTGGTATATAACCCAAACAAACCCACTACCATCAGGTCAGTTGTGACTCATAGCAGCCCTGTACATGGTTCCCAGTGCTGTAAACCTTTACAAGAACAGAAAGCCTCATTTTTCTGCCGTGGAGCTGCTCGTGGGTTGGAATTTTCAACCTTGAAGTTATCAGTTCAGTGCTTACCCTACAGCACCATCAATGCTCCTTTGCTGCATCAATAGTTTAATATATTTTGATATTGATGCCACATGATTCTATACAGTTCTAAATAGGCAATAAACACCACTTTTACATATTCATGGGATTTAACCCTTCGTGGAGGGGGATCTGAAATCTCTTTCTCAAGAACTTGTATATAAGAATCCAATCTTCTTGTTGTTGTTAGGTGCCATCAAGTAGGTTCTGACTCATAGTGTCCCTATGCACAATAGAATGAAACATTGTCCATCCTCACAATTGTTGTTACACTTGAGTTCATTACTGCTCCCACAGTGTCAACCCATCTTGTTGGGGATCTTCTTTTTTGCTGACCCACCATTTTATGAAGCATAATGTCCTTCTGTAGGGACAGGTCCCTCCTGATAGTTTGTCCAAAGCATGAGAGATGAAATCGTAACATCCTTGCCTCCAAGAAGCATTCTGGTGGTACCTGTTCTAACATAGACCTGTTTGTTTGTTCTCTGTCAGTCCATGGTCTCTTCAGTATTCTTCACCAACACTGTAATTCAAATGCATCAGTTCTATGGTTTTCATTATTCATTATCCAACTATCACATGCATATGAAGCTATTGAATATTCCATGACTTGGGGTGGGCAACCTTAGTCCTAAACTAATATCTTTGCTCTTGAACACTTTAAAGAGGTATTTTGCAGCAGATTTGCCTAATGCAATACATCGTTTTATTTCTTGACTTGCTGCTTCCATGAGTATTGATTGTGGATCCAAGCAAAATGAAGTCTTTGACAACTTCAATCTCTTTTCCAAATATCATGATGCTGTTTATTAGTTCAGTTTTGAGAATTCTTGTTTTCTTTACATTGAGGTACAATCCATACTCAGGGCTGTGGTCTTTGCCTTCATCAGTAAGTACTTTAAGTCCTCTTTGCTTTCAGCAAGCAAGCTCTTATCATCTGCATATCACAGGCTGCAAATGAGTCTTCCTCCAATGTTGATATCACATTCTTCATATAATTCAGCTTCTTGAATTATTTGCTCAGCATACAAGTTGAATAAATGTGATGAAAGAATACAGCCCTAGCACATACCTTTCATGATCCTAAACCATTCAGTATCCATTGTTCAATATGAATGACTGCCTTTTGGTCTATGTACATATGCTAACAAGTACAATTAAGGGTTCTGGAATACCCATCATCACAATGTTATCTATAGCTTATCATGTCCCACACAGTGATGGCCTTTTCCTAGACAATAAAGCACAGCTAAACATCTTTCTGGTATTCTCTGTTTCAGCCATGCACCATCTGACATCAACAATGCTATCTCTCATAACATGTCCTTGTCTGAATCCAGCCTCAATCACTAGTAGTTAGTTCCCTGTTGATATACTGCTATAGTTGCTGTCGAATTACCTCCAGCAAAATTTTCCTTTCATATCATATTAATGGTGTAGTTTTATATTTTCCTCATTCTGTTGGGTCTATTTAGAATGGGCACAAATATGGATCTCTTCCAGTCAATTGGCTCAGTATCCATCTTCCAAATTTCTTGGCATAGATGGGTGAGTGTCTTCAATGCTGCATCAGTTTGTTGAAAGATTTCAATTTGTATTCCATCAATTCCTGGAACCTTGTTATTCACCAATGTCTTAAAAGCAAATTGGGCTTCTTCCTTCACTACCATTGGTTCTTGATTATATGCTTTCTCTTGAAATGGTTGAACATTCAACCAATTATTTGATAGAGCAACTCTTTGTATTCCTTCCATCTTCTTTTGATGCTTTCTGAATCATTCAATGTTTTTTCCATAGAGTCCTTCAATGTTACAAATCAAAGCTTGAATATTTCCTTTAGTTTGAGAAATGGTGAGCATGGTTCTCCATTTTGGTTTTCTAACTCTAGGTTCTTGTACATTTCATTATATTTGACTTCGTCTTCTCGAGCTGCCCTTTGAAATTTTCTGTTCAGCCTCTGACTTTCTCATTTCTTCCATTTCGTTTAGCATCACTATGCTGGAGATCACATTTTGGAATATCTCATGACATCCATTTTAGTCTTTTCTTTCTTTCCTGCCTTTATAATAAAGATCTTGTGCTTTCTTTGTTGTATGATTATCTTGATGTCATCCCACAGCTCTTCTGGTCTTCAGTCATTAGTGTCTAATGCATCAAATATGTTCTTGAAACTATCTCTAAATTCATATTGGGTATGTTTGAGGTCATATTTTGGCTCTCATGGAGTTGCTTTAATTTTCTTTAGCTTCAGTCTGAACTTGGCATATGAGAAATTGATATTCTGTTCCACAGTAGGTCCCTGCATTGCTTTGGTTGATGACATTGAAATTTCCCACCATCTCTTCCCACAAATGTAGCTTAATTTGATTCCTGTGTCTTCTATCTGGTGAGGTCCATGTGTGCAATTGCCTTTTATGTTGTTTAAAAGGGTATTTATAATGAATAAATCATTGGCCTTGCAAAATTCTTTCATGCTATCTCTGATATCACTTCTATCATAAAAACCATATTTTCTAATCAATGATCTTCCTTTTTGTTTCAACGTTCACATTCTCATCACTAGTAATTATCAATACATCTAGATTGTATGTTTGATCCATTTCAGACTGAAGAAGTTAAGTTGGTAGAATTCTTCAATTTCATCTTCACTGGCTTTAGTGGTTGGTGCCAGTGGTATTAACTGGTCTTCCTTGTAAGCACATGGATATTATCCTATCCCAGACACCGTTGTACTTCAAGATAGGTCAGAAATATTCTTTCTCATGATGAATACTACAGCATTCATCTTGAATTTGTCTTCCCAAGCATAGTAAACTATATGATTTTTAGATTAAAATGGGCCAATACCAGTCCATTTCAGCTCATGACTAGAATATCAATGTTAATGCCTTCCATTTCATTTTTGATAACTTCTAATTTTCCTAGATTCATATGTCTTACATTCCATGCTCCAATTATTAATGGATGTTTATAGCTCTTTCTCCCCATTTTGAGTTGTTTTGCATCAGCAAATGAAGTCCTGAAAGCTTTAATCTATTCATATCATTATGGTCAACTCTGCTTTGAGGAGGCAACTCTTCCTCAGTCATATTTTGAATGCCTTCTAACCTGAAGGGCTCATCTTTTGGCACTGTATTTGACAGTATTCTGAGGCTATTCAAAATGTTTTCATCTTCAGTACTATACCTACCAATGTTCCACTGCTATTCATAAGGTTTTCAGTGGCTAAATACTCAGAAGTAGTCTTTCTTTCCTTCTTGCTAGTCTATCTTAATCTGGAAACTCTACTGAAAGCATGACCCTGCTGGCATTCAAAATGGTGCTGGCATAGTTTTCTGCATCAAAGCAACACACAACCCACAGTATGACAAACTGACAGGCGAGTGGTGGCAATCCAATCCTACAACACGTCATTGTTAACCTATTCTGTGTTGTAGTACTTTTTCAGAAAGTTCCTCTCAACAATTTTATAATTACTGTCCATAATTTAATTAGTAATTTTCCTAAAACTTCTATTTTTATTTTTATGCTAAATCCTAGACAGTTCGAAAAGAAAACAAAATTATTTGCATGATTATTCCTCTATTCTATTTTAGTCTTTAAAATCATTCAAAGCCACAATGAAATAAATATTAAAATTCAAACTAATATAAGATATATTACATGTACAAAACACTATCGGAATAATTATTGGAACTTTAATATACATCTTTAAATTAAAATTAATAAAATGGCATTTCTCAAATGTACTATACAGAACCATAAACTTAAAGTGTGTTTAAATAGATTTTTAAAAATATAACTCTCTAGATGTCCTTATTAAGGAGCTCTGGTGACACTATGGGTTAGGCACTGGCATGCTAAATACAAAGTCAATGTTTCAAAGCCACCAGTTACTCTGCAGGAGAAAAATTAGTCTATCTGCTCCCATAGAGATTTATGGTCTTGGAAATCCTATCTAGGACCACTTTGAGACAGAATCAACCAGATGACAGTGGGTTTTATTTCTTCATTTTGGTATATGTCCCTATTACAATCACAATACCATTCTCCTTATGATCTACTTATCTTTATGTAGGTTAGTATGTGCTGAGCAAATTTACCCATACCAAAAACCAAATCCATGGCCACTGAGTTGATGATTCCAACTCATAGAAACCCTATATAGAATTTCCAAGACAAAGTTTTTATGGGAGCAGATAGCCTCATCTTTCTTCCTCAGAGGGGCTGATGGGTTTGAACTGCTAACCTTGTGGTTACCAGTCCAACACCTAAACCCCAACACCACCATGACTCCTTATAAATTTTACTATAAAATTTTCTAGTCTCCTAGGCAATATGTTTTAGAAAATGAAACAATGAAGAAATTGCCAGTTAAAATTTATTTTAAAATATTTCACTCATACTCCAGAAAAAATTAACTAAGTTACAAGTTAGTAGTTATGACACAAACTTTAAATATTGTACATTATATAATTTGTCTTCTGCCTTATATTTTAGAGCTGAAATTTCAGAGAAAATCCAAAATCAGTATAAAACTAATTATAAAGTTAACACATGTAATATGTTTTCACTTACAGATCTTGCAACAGCCCTCATTGAAAAGCTTTACAACCCCTTCGTTCTAGGAAGAGAAAAGAAATATAATCAAAAGTGTTCTTTCATCTCCTATTATACTAGAAATAACCTTTTAAAAAAAAACCTTCCCATTATTTCTACTAAATGTATTGCTGAATATTTATAGGAAAATAATTGGAATTTATTTCTGATAAGAATTTATTTGTTCTTAAAGTTAAGAATAGATATTCTGTGTAAAATTAAATTATCTCTAAATTAGTTGTATGAACAAGAGTGCAGAAAAACTAACCTACTTTTTAAAAGAACAAATTTTAAATGCCATAAAAACATTTCCTACCAAAATAAGATGGTAATAAATCATCTAAATAGGCTATTCTCTTTTCCTAACTCTATAAAAAAAATCTAAGTGATTAGACTAGATTATGTTTCTAAATATAATTGAATACAAAAATGACCTACCTTTCTCTTCAATATTATTTTTAAAACTCCCTACCTTAGAATGTCTCATGCCTGTCTAAATAAATAAACAGCATTTTATTGATTATCTTTGGAATTCTTATAGTGAGTTGCTGATTGCTAATAGTAGTAAATTGCTCACAAAAAGTTAAGTAAAAGTATATTCTATTCCATTAGATCACAATTAAGTTTCCCGCCAGAGCTAAAATTCTATGACTTCAGTATTTATTGTATCTATTTATTTATCTAGTCATCACTGTTAAAAAGAGAAAAAGATCAATAAAATGATATCACTTTAATACACCTAAAAATATTAGTCCATACAAAAAAACAAACAATATATTTTAATTGGGTATTATTATTAGCTAAGTAATTAAACTATAGAGAATGTTTACAAATACGATATTATCTATATTAAACTAATTAAAATGTATATTTCCCAGTATGCTGTCTCTCAATAGACTCAGAGAGAATAAGAGATTGTTAGAGCAAAAAAAAGAAAGAATGAATCAGAAATTCTGAGGCTTGTGGTCAGTGCTATAATAGTCTGAGCTCAGAGAGAGAAAGGCAAGTTCCTCTCAGGCAAGCATGTATTAAAAGTTAATGACAGCATAAGTCTGTCTATTTGCTTGCTTAAGGAAGATAATTAGTGAAGTAACTGGCTCAGTAGCCCATATTTTAAAAGATACTAGATATTCTGATCAAATTACTCTTCAATAATTCTTTGATCTACACATAAACCTCCACCCACTTATCAGAAACCTTTTATAGGGTTTCATGAGTCAAAACTAACTCAAAGGCATTTAACAACAATATAACAACACATAAAAATGCAGTGTCCATTAAAAGAGAAGAAATTACTTGGGACAGAATATATTTCTCAAGATGACAAACAGAAATTATCAAAGGGTGTTTTTATTCATGTTTGAAATGATAGCATTTACTAAAATAAGTAAGTCACATAATAGATAAGACCTTGGAAAACAAACTAATATGTATGTTATCAATTACATTAGATATTACATTTTCTTATTTATAACAAAGTACAAACCATTTTGCATTCGGTCTCATTAAAGGGGGGACAGATCATACTGTAACTCAGAATCACTGCCCCCTCATCAGTCTTAACACATTCATATGTGGTGCAATTATAGTTCCAGGTACTTCCCTCCTAAAAATAAGAAGATAAAGTAACTATTTTATTATTATTAAAACGTACTAGATTTCTTAAGTAAAATATTTTCTATCCTACTGAAGGGCAGTTTCAGACATAAATAATATGCCATCTGAAAATGTCCCTAAATTTATCATACATTGTTGCTATTGTTAAGTGCCATTGAATTTATTCCTACTCATAACAACCCTGCATAGGGTTTCCGAGGATCAGCTGGTCAGTTTGAGCTGCCAGCCTTTCGGTTACCAGTACACATATATATATATATATCCTTGTTTTTGTTGTTATTTAATAATTAGCATCAAAATATTAGAACAAGGCCTTTGACACTCAGCCATATTAGATAATTAATTTTGTAGTAGATAAATAAATAGGCATCTATTTACACTATGAAATTGTCTATTTTATTAGTGTCACAAGTCCTGCTTTAATATTTTTCTCACTAATTATAAAACAACAAATCATAGTACTCATATACCTCCCATCTTACAATTTGTTTATTCTTCCTTCCACTCCCTTATCATCAAAAATTAAAATTTCCTTATCTGATGGTGCTTATTGACTTATGGTTATAATATTGTATGCATTAGGAAAATGCTCTGGACTACAAGGTTGGTTTGACCCTAAGGTCAGTAGTTCAGGCTCACCAGCCACTCCTTGGAAACCCTATATAGGGTTGCTATGAGTCAGAATGACTCAACAGCACTTAACAACAACAACAATAGTTATTTTAAATTCTATTCTTGTTTTAAAATAATTTCATAAATATAACAACTATTCACCTCATTCTTAATTTAATTTTTTAAATTTCTATTTAAAAAATAAAATCAGCTAAAAATAATTATTAAATAAATGTTGTTGTTAGGTTTCATCAAGTCACTTCTGACTCAAAGAGACCCTGTGTAGGGTTTCTGAATAGTGGTTAGTGGATTTGACCCACCGACCTTGAGATTAGCAGTCCAGTGCTTATTTTACAGTGCCACACCAGGACTTTAATTCTGGTCTGCATTTTTATTTCAATAATCCACCTTTTTTAAACCTAGTAAATTCTTGGCCTAAAGATTACTTGAGTACCAGTAAAGAATTTTTTATGATCCTGACCATTTCCCTTTATCTAGATTCATTCTGCTGTGCATAAGGTCACTATGAGTCATTAATGACTCGATGGCACCTAACAACAACAACAGATTCAGGAGGGACCACTCGCTGGAGAAGGATATCATGTTTGGTAAGGTGGAGGATCAGAGAAAAAGATGAAGACCCCCAGCGGGATGGATCGGCAAAGTGGCAGCATCAAGAGGCTCAAGCATGGCAATAATTGGGAGGTTGACCCAGGATCAGGCAGTGTTTTGTTCTGTTGTGCATAAGGTCACAATGAGTCAGTACCAACTCAATGGCACCTAACAACAACAAAAACAGATTCTATTATAATTTATTTTCATATCTTCTATAAATCTTTACTAGAAAAGATCTACAAGCATGGTATAAAAGATTATTTATCTGAAAACAAAAATCCTTGAGAGAGCCAAAAGTTGAAGATGTTGGTGTGTATTTGCCATGATGTATATTTGTGTTTTCAAAAAAATATTAGATACATAATTTAATCTTACATTGAAATTTCAATGCCATTGATGTTATTGTTATTGTTAAGTGTCCTCAAGCTGGTTCCAACCCAGAGCAACCCTATATAGGGTTTCCAAAGAGCAGCTGGTGAGCTTGAACCACCAACCTTGTAGTTCAAGTCAACCTTATAGTCCAGCGCATTAACCCACAGTGCCACACCAGGACTCCCTCAATGCTATCACCTGGATATGAATTATATATACCAATGTTTCCTAAATTATTGACATCTTTAGAGTTCATGTTGCCCTTTTACTCAAGTCAACAAATTACTACTTTTCCAAGTAGTCTTTGATTTTTTTCTCTCATTGACATCTTGTCTTCTTGACACTGTTTAAATTTCTATCAAAGTTTCTTCTTTAAAAGAAGACATAAATATTGCTAGGATAAAACAGATAAGCATTATCAATAATATCAACACTAACTAAATCTTATTTTGTACATAACTGTGAGAAAATCAGTTGTGACACAAGAAGACATTTTTTCATTTTTAATAAAATGTACAGGTTTGGAATTTAGGGTATTTGATTCATCTCATGTAAATAGGAATACGAGAAATTAGTCATCTAGAAAAACTATTAATGGGGCAAGGGAGACCCTCAAGAATAGCTATAATAAATTTAAGAAGCTGGAAGTACCTTCAGATAATGTAAATTGTAAACAGAATTTGTGACCTTCCTAAATCTGATTGTACCACACCATTAAGCAAGTACAAGTGAATTACGAAGTTCCTGGTGTGGCACTATAGGTTAAGCACTGGACCACAAGGTCAGTTTGAACCTCAAGGTTGGTGGTTCATATCCACCATCCACTCCTCAGAAACCTTATTCAGGGTCACTATAAAATAGAACAAACTCGACAGCATTTAACAACAATAACAACATATGTAAGGAGTGTGAGTCAGTGTTCTAACACTTCTAGGGTTACAATGGATAATTGGAGAATTCTGAATAATTAACATACTACTTTTTATGGATAAATGCAGTTGGTGCATTTATCTTTTTTTATTTTTAATAGTCAAATATTTGATTTTTTTCTCTTTTATACTCACTAAAATTTTTTACTGTCTAAATTGGAAATATTAATATCTTGAGTTTCTGATTTCTATTAAAATGCTTCATGTGCAAATAAATTATTATTGATGTTATACTGTATAATATCCCAAAGCTCATTTTGCATATCTAGGAAAACAAAACCAAATGGAAATCCATAATAAAATAAGTTTGAGAAAGAAGTTTAAAATGTTTACCACATAATTATTGCTTTAAAATGCAACGAATGCAAATGTGCTATGTATATTGTATAGGCACTGTATATATGTGTACATTGTATGCAGAATGTGTGTGGGGGGGTGTATGTATTTTTGTGCAACATTTCCCAAACTTATCTTCTTCAGAAAAATGGCACACATTTTAGGAAATAAGGAATTCATACCTCATATATAACGGATGCTCCATTTTCCATAGTAAATTTGCAGGATACATTTTTACAGGTACCACAACAATCATAATCACTTGGAGATGGAATATATACCTGGTGCTGCATATAATGATAATACATTAAATTAGCTGCCTACATAGTCCCATCATTTTTATATGAGTTAGTTCTGAAGTTGCTTCCCAAATTGCTACGCTTTTCTAGATCACCTGTTAGCATCTCTAAGATAAATTTTGAATCGTTTCAAATAATTGACTTTATATAGCTATACTAGAAGAGAAGTAGATTTCAGTCTTTATATCTAACAGCAAAGATTCATCAACCAGGCATAACAACCTCAGTCAAGCAGGCAGTAGACAAGAAGACACCTAAAGCTCAAGGTCACACATGGGAAAGTTAAAATCTGAATTGTGTAGATTTATGGCATTGTAGGATCAGCATTGGACTGTGAACCACAAGGTTGGCAGTTCAAACCCACCAACCAATCTTTGAAAACTCTATACAGGGTTGCTATGAGTTGGAGCTGACTTGACAACACTTAACAAAAACAACAACATCACACATTAAGAGATTGTTGGAATCATTATTTAAGTATATGTTTTTAACTACGTAGTGAGTATTCATGATTTCAAATTGTGGAGCTGCCATTTTAGGATTCATTAACTCTCATCAGCACAACTGGTAAAGAATACTTACAATATCACATTCTTTTGAACAATTCACCATTGTAAAATTCAGAGTGTGGTAGCCTGTATAGTTATCTTTTTCTTCCAGGCACTCAACTATATAGCAAAAATCCCCTTCCAAATACTTTGTTATTGATTGGCCAGGATTCAACACTGAGACTTCTTGAAGCATACATACATCATCCTTTTCTAAGATAAGAAAGAAAAAAACTCAACAAGAAGATTCTATAGTTTTTATTAATTAATGAAATTTTAAGTCATTATTTTGACTGTGATATGCCAATTTTTCAAGACCAACAAAGATCTTTACCTTTATATAAATAACAAGTCAAGAGTATAATAAGTAACACAGCACATTTATTCCTTAACTCACAATAACAAATTGATCTGCAAAATCAACTATTGTTCAGTGTTTGGACCTCCTCAAAATATCTCATTTTATACCAGGTTCCAGAATATGAGATTTTATGGATGGACAGCCTATGTGCCTAGTCCCTTTTCTAGAGAAATAACATGAGAATTGTTGTAGGTGTATGTGGACTAAGGTAAAATCTAATTCAATAACAATCAGATTCTTGATGATGAGACTTGTAAAATTTCATGGATAGAAATTATTATTTTTTTGAGAAATTTTTCAATTTTATACTACTGCAAAATAAAGTCATGGAAATCATATTTCATGATGGAGGTAACTGATTTAATGTGCTTTTGCATCTTTTAAAGTGGTATATCAAGGTAGGCTGGGTTAGTAATGAAAAATCAGCTAACATAAGTCTAATTCTCTATTAGCTTATTCATACTTAATATGAAGATCTGCTATATCATAGAAAAAAAAACAACTTTATTTTTGCTTTGCAATGTTAATATCTATAATAAAACAGTGACAAAAACCTTCAATCTTCTTTATATTATCTTTTATGTACTTAATACAAGAGAATAAAATATACTAGCAGCTTAAAAAAATTTGTGAAGTCTCTGAAACAATCATTTTTCTGTTGTCAAATTTCAGAATAATTATAGATGACATTAAATAGAAAATTGAAAAAGATTCATTTTTTTTTACACACACACAAAAAAAACAAGTACATGATTTAAAACATATTAAATAAAATAGAGCTTCAATAAGTTCATGGAAAAATTCCATTATCTTTCTATTCCATTTTTCCCATGAACTGTTTGAAGCCCGTTACATCTCAAGTAACATAATTGGTAATTTATTAATAGTGAGTAACAGATGCCAATAATATTCTTTCAAATGTAACAAAACACATAGTTACCACACAGATACTGTACACATCCACAGTCACTCTGAAAGCCAAGGTCATTTGTAATAAATTCTCCCTAATAAAAAAGATACAGCTTATTATATGATAATAATAACAACAACCAAATCCCAACAACCCACAATATAACACCTAATAAATTCCCTAACACAGAGTTAGACACGTTTGTTGTGACTCATAATAACCAGGTATAGAGTTTCTGAGGAGCAGTTGGTGGGTTTGAACTGCCAACTTGTGGTTTGTAGTCCAGTGCTTATCCTACAATGCCACACCAGGAGTCCCAGTTAGATATATGTTGTTGTTGTTGTTGTTAAGTGCTGTTAAGTTGGTCCCAACTCATAGTGACCCTGTACAGGGTTTCTGAGGAGTGGCTGGTGAGTTAGAAATGTCAACTTTGTGGTTCAAACCAACCTTGAGGTTGAGAGCTTATCCTATGGTACCACAAAGACCTAGAAGACTCTTTATGTTGAATTGCATTTTTGTCTTTAGAAATACAGTAGTGATTTTTTTTTTTTAAATCACCTTAGGTACTGAAAGAAAATTTAGGCCAGCATTCTAAATGAGTACTCAGGAGCAATGGGTATCATCTGTGCTTATGTAGATCCATAGCTGTATGCATGTTGTTGATAGGGGCTGTTGAGTTGGCTCTGACTCACAGTGACCCTGTGCAGAGCAGAATAAACACTGCCCAGTCCTTTAGTACCCTCACAGCTATTGTTACGTTTGAGCCCATTGCTGCAGCATGGAGTCAGTCTGTGTCATTAAGGGTCTTATTCTTTTGTTGACCTTGATTTTATCAAGTGTGATGCCCCTTTCCAAGGACTAGTCTCTGGTAACATGTTCAAAGAAAGGAGATGAAGCCTCAGCATCCTCATTTCTGAGGAGCATTCAGGCTGTCCTTCTTCCAAGACAGATTTGTTCCTTCTTCTAACAGCCCATGATACTTACAATAGTTTTCACCAACACTGTAATTAAAATGTATCAGTTCTTCTCTATTGTTCCTTATTTTTTTTTACCAGCTTTTATATGCATATATTGTTGTTGTTATGTGCCATCAAGTCATTACTGATTCAGAGCAACCCTATGCACAATGGAACAAAACACTACCCAGTCCCATGCCAAGCTCACATTTGCGTTAGAAAGGTATGGGAGCAAGGGTAGAAAAAAGACAAGAGAGGGCAGACAGAAATGTGGTTGCTGAACAGAAAAAAAACAACAACAAAAAAAAAACACCAAAAAACAAAAAACAAAACATCATGCATGGAGAAAATAATAATCAAATAAGAGAAATTTTATGAAAACATTTTTTTTTAAATTTGAAGCATCCTACCTAAACTTTAGATGATGCTAACTCTGATAACCAGAATAATTGTTTTGCTACCTTTAAAATGAAACAATAGCATCATAAGAGGTGTTCTGTTGCTTTCAAAACTGCCTTATTGATTTCCCAGAATATAGCTTTGAACTTTACATAGTAAATAAGATGCAGGTGAACTTCATTCTGGTATTCTTGGTTTTCAGTCAAGATCCATTTAATATCAGAAGATATTCTTCATTCTATGTCCTCTTCAGAATCTGGCTTGAATTTCAGACATTCATTTTGGTCTTTTCTTCCTTTCCTATCTTTTTAATGACCTGTTTATTGTGGACTACGAAAAGGCATTCCACTCTATGGATCAAAAATTATGAATATTTTTGCAAAGAACACTTAATTTTGCTCATGTAAAACTTTCCAAAACACTTGATTCTGCTCATGTGAAACCTGTACAAAGATCAAAAGGAAGTCATTCATACAGAACAAGAGATTAACGCGTGTTTTAAAATCAGAAAGGGTGTGTGACAACGTTTCAGCTTTTCACCATACTTATCCAATTTTGATGTGAGACTTCAACACACCACTTTCAGTGAAGTGAAACTCAACAAAGACACAGAAGAAATAAACAACAAAATCAACTAACTTGACTCATAGACTTAAACAGATCACTCAACAAAATCAACAACATGGTATAAATTCTTTTCTAGTGCACATAGAACATTCTCCAGAATAGATTATATGTTGGGCCACAAGGTGAACCTTAATAAATTAAAACAGAATACTGTAAAGCATCTTTACAGATCACAATGCTATAGAATTAGAAATCAACAAAAGGGTGATAAAGGGGAAAAAAATCAAACACTTGAAAATTAAGTAACACTATTTTTAAAAGCTAATGTGCAATGTTGTTGTTGTTAAGTTCTGTGGAGTGGTTTCCAACTCAAAGCAATCCTATACAGGATTTTTGAAAACTGGTTAGTAGGTTTGAACCACCAACCATGTGATTGCAGTTCAGTGCCTATAGTATAGAACCACATTGGGTAATAGAATAAAAATGAAATTTAAAAATTCATTGAATCAAACAAGAATGAAAACAGAACATACCAAAACCTTTGGGACACAGCAAAAGCAGTGCACAAAGGGCAATTTATACCAATAAACACACACATTCAAATAGAAGAAAGAACCAAAATCAGCACTTTAACCCTACATCTCCAACAGTTAGTAAAAGAAACACAAAATAAATATAATGTCACCAGAAGAAAAGAAATAATTAAGATTAGACCAGAAATAAACATAGAAAACAGAAAAACAATAGTACAAATCAACAAGACAAGAAGATAGTTCTTTGAAAAGAATTAATAAAAACAATAAACCTTTGGCAGATCTAACAAAAGAACAGGAGAAAATGCAAATAAGATCAATAAAATATGATACAGGTGATATAACAGAACCAATGGAAATAAAAATGATAATAGCAGAATACTATGAAGAATTGTACTCCAAAGAATTAGAAAATTTAGAAGAAACTGAGAAATTTATAAATATACACATCCTACCTAAACTAACACAGACTGAAGTAGGAAACAAGAAAAATTCTAACAAAAGAAAAAAATGATAAGGTTATTTAAAAACTCCAACAAAGAGAAGTCCAGGCCGGGAAGGCTTTACTGGTGAATCCTACCAAACATTCAGAGAAAACATGACACAAATTCTACTCAAACTAATCTAGAACAAATAAAAGGATGGAAAATTCCTAAATTCATCTTATGAAACAAATATAACCCTAATACCAAAATCAGTCAAAGACATCACTAAAAAAGAAATTAGAAACCAATAACCTTCATGAACATATAGGTGTAAAAATTCTCACCAAAATCCTATCCAATAGAATCCAACAACATAACAAAAAATAATGTTGTTGCTGTGAAGCACCATGGAATTAATTCTGACTCATAGCAACCCTACATAGGTTTCTGAAACTAATACATCATAACCAAGTGGGATTCAAACCATGTATGCAAGGAAGGTTCAACATTAGAAAAACAATCAGCATAATCTACCACATAAATAAAACAAAGGAAAAGAACTAGATGACCACATCAATTGATGCAGAAAAAATATTTGACAAAACACTCAAAAAAAAATAGGAATAGGTGGTAACAAAATTAAGGGCATATATACAAAACCAATAGCCAACATTACTTTCAATGGAGAGAAACTGAAAGCATTCCCCTTGCTAACAAGAATCAAACAAGGATCCCTTTATCACCACTCCTACTTGATATAATACTAAAAGTCTTACCCAGAGCTATATGGCAAGAAAGTGGAATTATAGGCATATTTTGGCATAGTAAAACGCTATTATCCTATACCTAGAAAATCCCAAAGACTCATAAATAAAATTACTGAAACAAATTGAGAGATTCAATAGTGTCAAGGTATAAGATCAACATAAAAAAATCAGTCAAATTCCTTTACACTAATAAAGAGAACTCTGAAAAGGAAATCAGGAAAACAATACAGTTTATAGTAGCCATCAAAAATATGAAATACTTAAGAATAAATCTAACCAGAAAAACAAAAGACGTATACAAAGAAAACTATTGAATGTTCGAGAATTCAAGGGTAGCATTTGGTGATGATTATATGCCATGGAGTCATTTCTGACTCATAGCGATCCTGTACAGGGTTTCCAAGTCTGTGAATCTTTATGGGAGCAGGGTAGCATTTAACTAAGGACAAAATTCAGAAGGGTTGTTAGAAAGGTGGAATGGAAATAACAACCACAGGGAGGATATAGGATAGTGGGTGCTACATGGAGAGGATTACAATTATTAAAATGAAACAAAGTATATGATTTGTTTCTGCTCTGTTCATCTTCACTTAATTCATAATAAAAAGTTTTAAAAAAATTAAACCTCTTGCATTGGGGAAATCTGTTGTAGAACTATTAAGACAGCAATGATGTTACTTTGAGGACTAATGTGCATCTGCCCCAACCCATGGTATTTTTGTTATTGTTATTGTAAAGTGCCTTTGAGTTGGTTCTGACCCATAGCAACCTTGCACAGAATTTCCAAGTAGTGACTGGTAAGGTTGAACCACCAACCTTGCAGTTAAAACTGACTTTGCAGTCCAGAGCATTAACCCACAGCACCACACCAGGACTCCATGGTATTTTTAATTACCTCACCTCATATGTATGTGAAACATGCACAATGAATAAGATGAAAGAAGAATTGACTCCTTTGAATTATGTATTGGCAAAGAATATTGGATACACCGTGGAATTCCAGAGGAATAAACACATCTATTTACACCCTCGGAAACCCTGTACAGGGTCGCTATGGGTCAGAATCGACTCGACGGCACTTAACAACAACAACAACATCTTGGAAGAAGTAGAGTAAGAATTCTCCTTAGAAATGAGAATGGTGGTATTTCATTTCACATACTTTGGATATCTTTTCAGTGGGGACCAGTTCCTGGAGAAGTACACTATGCTTGGTAAAGTAAGAGGATCAACAAGAAAGAGGAAGACCCTCAATGAGATTCACTGACACAGCAGCTATAGCAGTGGGTTCAAGTGTCGCAATGCTTGTGAGGATTGTACAGGATTGGGTAGCATTTCATTCTGGCATGAATAGGGTCATTATAAGTCAGAACAAACTTAGGGCACCTAGCAACAAGAGCAGCTTTGAACTAGAAATTGTGAATGATAGCATTATGAAAACATATTGTTTGAAATGGAAGACAAATACATCTTCTCTGACGAGTAGGACCATAAATACAATCTTTCTGAAACCTCATTTGACATACCTCAAGGCAGATTTATGTAAAGGCAAGCCTTTAAAGACAACAAAGACATTAAAAATGCCATGAATCACATTTAATGGTTGAATAGGAAACACCAGAGTCATAACTACTATTTTTAACATTTTAAACTTGTTATTTGCTGTTGAGTTGATTCCAAATCATAGCGACCTAATGCACAACTGAATGAAACACTGTCTGGTTCTCACAATTGCTGTTAAACTTAAACCCACTGTTGTTGCATCTGTACCAGTCCATCTCAGTAGGGTCTTCCTCTTTTTCACTGATGCTCCACTTTACCTAATATTATGTCCTTCTTCAGGGACTGATCCTCCTGATAATATGCCAAAAGTATGAGAGACAAAGTCTTGCCATCTTGGCTTCTAAGGAGTATTCTGACTGCACTTATTGCAACACAGAGTCGTTTGTTCCTCTAGCAGTTCATAGTACTTTAAATATTCATCTCCAACACCGTAACTCAAAAGCATTAATCCTTCTGCAGTCTTTCTTCACTGTCTTATTCACTGTCTAATTTTAACATGCATATGACGCTATTGAATATACCATGGCTTGGGTCAGGTACACCTTAGTCCTCACACTGACATCTTTGCTCTTACATGTTCTGAACATGTTACATATTCATGAATAAATAATAAAAACACATAGGCAATTATAAGAACTCCTGGTGTGGTGCTATAGGGTAAGCAATTAACTTCAAGGTCTGTTTGAACTGTAAGGCTGATGGTTCAAATTCACCAACAGCTCCTCGGAAACCTTATATAGGGTCACTGTGAGTTGAACTACCTAGACAGCACTTAACAACAACAACAACATAGGCAATTATATCTTTAAGGTGTTCAAAAACAAAGATGTCAGTTTGTGGACTATGTTGTACCATGATATTGTCAATAACTTCATATGCATATGAAAGTTACACAAAATTGGATCATAAAATCAGTTATCAGGACTAATTGCAATTGTCACAACTGTAATTGTAGAATCTGTGTAACTAAAAGGAGTAGTTAATCTTCCATTTCAGGGACAGAGGACCCTTGGAACAGCAGAAGACCATGAGTGAAGTATGGGATCCTAACCAGAAGAGCAGCAACAGCAGAGACAGGGGCAGAGGGAATGGCACAGAGAGAAAGAGCAGCTGAGGACTCTAGGCTCATGAACTGAGGTGGCTGTGTGCCTGCGATCAGGAGGCTGGCTTGCAAGGTGTGCCCTTTGGACATTTAAATGAATATTTATTTTCTGTTGTGTACATGTACATGTACAAAAAAAAAAAAAAAAAAAGGAGGGTAGGGCAGAATAGAGGTAAATACTGTTGACTGATGATATATGGAGGGGATTGTAATCATTTCAATTAAAAAAATATGATTTACTGAATATAAAACGGATAATCTGCCTTGCAAACTTTCATTCAATTCACAATAAAAACATAAATAAATAAATAAATAAAAAGATCTAATATCAGTGTATTTCTTGAAGAATCTTTGGAGATTTCATTCAATAATATGGTAATTTTTCAATGTTTTGGTTCATGTAGAATACAGTAAGCATCAGTAGATATAAGACTAGTAGATTTATTCCCTAGTAGAAGAAAATTTATTGTATTTTTCTATCTTAAAAAAATATATAGAAGGGTGACTTTTTTCTAACACCAGAACTTCTTGTTGTTAAGTGTCATTGAGTTGGTTTCAACTCACAGCAAACTTCCATAGAGTTTCTGAAGAGCGGCAGGTGGGCGCGAACCACCGACCCTGTGCTTAGAAGTCTATTGCTTACACAACAGTGCTACAACAGGACTCTGATACCAGAGTACATTATTTTAACCTACCTCATTACAGTTTAATTAGGATGATTCCATTACCTCTGAAAATAATTTGAAAGGAGAGATATAAAATAAGAATAAACTGATTCATGACAAGTGAATCAAATATGTATTCTTACCACTTTACAAGTTGGTATGATTAGATTTTCACAGCTACATTCTAAAAAAAACAAAAATAAATATATTTAGATTGACCAAAAACAATTAAAATATTAACAAAACTTTAAAATATGAAAGTTAGTTACCACAATGCCATATAGGGCAACATTGATCAGATACATTTTCTTTCACAAGTTTCATATCTTCTGCACAGCTGAGCAGTGGAATAGGGCAAAGATTTGGCTCACAAACTAAACAGAAAGATCACAAAAGTAAATATTAACTTCATGTTGTAATCGTTCTCAATACCTAGCATCTCGTTCACCACCATTATTGAAGTGCATTGACCTATATCTCCCTAGTAGTGACTTTCCAAGCACTCACTTGCCATGTTTTAAGGAAAATCTAACAGAACATAGGGATTACAACAACAATGGCAGATCTGAGACAGCTCATGGTGTAAAGGGTCTTGATAAATGGCAGGGCTGAATGAATCGAGAGGAAGTCAAGAAGATGTGTAGTCATCTGAACATATGGAAATACTACCAAGAAGAGAAAAGCTATCACTATGGTGTGGCACTGTGGGATAGAAAGCACTTGATCAGAAGGTCAGTTTGAACCGCAAGGTCGGCAGTTCAAACTCACCAGCCGCTCCTTGGAAACCCTATACAGGATCGCTGTGAGTCAGAACCTTCTCAACAGCACTTAACAACAACAGCAATCTCTTTTGGGGAGGCAGTTATGTTATACAAAAACAATTCTTAGTTGTGTAAAAATACTATATGTATTTTGCACATATTTTCTTTTACAAGAATTCAACTGTGAAGCTGATGTAATAGTACAACTAAAATACACTAGACTTCTTAAACATATGACAAGTCTAATAAACATTTAAAATTAGTTAAAATACACTTACCACAGTAATACTGAGGACAACAGAATTGTGTAGTATTAAGCTGCACAGTGAGAATTTCCCCATCAGTACATAGTGGGACAGGTTCAGTGCAAGGTTCACAAACTAAAGGCGGAATGACAAAAAACATAATTGTGTTAAATATACACTAATTATTAGTTCATGAAACACATAAAATCAAAATAAAATACATTGCAGTTATTAAAACTGGGAACATGAGAAATAAGACTGTCAGATAAAATTTTAATTTGTCATCAGGACAACAATCCAAGGGGACTTCAAAAAGTTCATGGAAAAAATTAATTATCTTTTAACTATAATTGTCCATGAACTTTTTGAAGTCCTCGCATATATGCTTCACCCCCACAGGGAAACTGTAGGAATACAACCCAAATTAAACTAATCTAATCTCTTTGCATAGAATTTGAATCATAAGCAGAGGTGTACCAGGGCAGAAAAGGAAAGGAATGGACTCAGTTATCAATGCTGCCATGTAGAGCTGCTGATGCTTCCTCTTCCCAGATCTAGCTGTGCTGCGTCATCATGAGCCTACGCACTTCCTCAAGTGCTGCCAGTAATTGGCTGTGCTTAAACTAGATAGATTAAATCAATCTATGCCACTTACAGTCAAAGAATCTTAACAATAAGAGATTGGGTTTGATTTTCACAGGTATATTTCAAACATACGTACATCTTAAACTACCTTAATCACCAATCTGTGACCTGAGAATGTATTTATAATGGAAAAACAGGTGATTCTCTCATTTTTAATATTCAGTTTATGAGACCGAATGCATAGCTCCATGTAGTCATTTTCAAGACACCCTTTATTGCTTTCTCTTTCAAGATCATCATAGCTCACACCGAATATATAAGAGCCGAAGCTTTTAATGGATGGTATGGTGCTATACGATCAGTACTGGACTGCAACCCAAAGGGTTGGCAGTTCAAACCTACCAGCTGCTCCTTGGGAGCCCTATACAGGGTCACTATGAGTCGGAACCAACCAACAATAAACACTGTTGTTATAAGCATGTAACAACAACAGAGTTTATGGAGACCTGGTGTGACTTTGTAGGGTAAAAACTGGACTGGAAACCACAAGGTCTGCAATTCAAACCCACCAGCTGCTCTATACAGGGTTACTATAAGTAGAAACTAACTCAAAGGCACTTAACAGTGTTTTTAGCAAAATCAATGATCCTATCTGGTTCTTAAATAAACGCCAGTGCTAAATTTTCTCCAAAAGGAATCAGTTATTAGCCTTATTAAAAGAAAAAAAATCCTTGATTGTATTATCTTGGAGTCCTGGTGTGGCACTGTAGGTTAATGCTCTGGACTGCAAAGTCAGCAATTCAAGCTCACCAGCCGCTCCTCAGGAACCCTATACAGGGTCACTGTGGGTTGGAACCGACTAGATGGCACTTAACAACAACAACAACAAATTATTATTGGGTTAGGTGTATATATGTATATGTCTATATGGAAAGAGAGCTTTTGTTGATAAGGAAAGATAGTAACAACTAGAGTCATTGTAAAGAGCCATTTGTAACACATGTTACAAATTTGTAACACATTGTAAAGAGCCATTTGTAACACATGTTGGTACATTCTTGTGAGTTTAACATCAGTATATTGGTTATCATCAGTCTCATTAAATTCATATAAAATACGAGATCTTCTTTCAAGAAATTATTTTTTAAAACACTCACCACAAAGAGGGGGAAAACAACAAGGTTCTCCCTGTTGAACTTCCATAATAAATTGGTCTTCTCTGCATTCTGGTATTGGAATATCCGGACATTTGACTGGGTCACATTCTGGAGAAACACAAAGATGTTTGAAAATTTGTATGGTGTGATAAGGATAAATAAAATATTGTCATTTGTTTCTCATCGAATTTAGTAATAATTTATTTAAATATCTTAATCTTAGCAGAAATATCTAAGAAACAGCAGACTATATATACATATATACAGAGAGCAAGAAGTTACAGATTTAAGAAAAACTGTATTTAGTAAGACAATGCCACAAGCTTTTATAACAAATCTTTTTTTTTTTTTTTCCTAATTGAATACTCACCACACTGGTATTGGGGACAGCAAGAAAGTGGGCTTTGGCCAATGACCAGTTTTTCACTATTCATACACGTTGGAATGGTAATGTCACACAAAGTCATGTCACATCCTGGGGGGAAAAAACAGAAACATTAAAATATTGAGTTGATGCTGTGAAGTGCCATCAAGTTGGTTCTGACCCATAGCGACCCTGACAGGGTTTCCAAGGAGCAGCTGGTGAGCTTGAACTGCCAACCTTGCAGTTCAAACGGCTTTGCAGTCTAGTGCATTAACCCACAGCACCACACCAGGACTAGGCATAACTTTTAAAATCTTATGCTGCTAACTCAAATAAGTCCAATGACTCGTTATATATATATTTTTTACATTGCAGTTAACCCCCTTCAGCTCACAAAATAAAGTATATGTAAAAAATCTGCAGCTTTAAGATTGGTTTATTATATCTTTCACCCTTGACTATCATAAATGAAAAATTTCCAAGTCCTTTCTATTGTTATATATTGATAAATATTCTCATTGCCAACAGCCATATTTTTACAAACATATTTGCAAAGTCAGAAAAATTGTAGTGAATCAAAATTTGCTTTGAGAATATGATGACTTACAGTGCAACTTCAACCTTTGTTGTTGTTTTTAATATAAAAACCTTCATGGCCTGCATTTTAACAGAGAATTTCAACATTTTGCAGCATTAATTGACTATTAGGCATTACATGTTTTTTTAAGTGACATTGAGTAGGTTTTGATGCATAGTTACCCCGTGTATGATTTCTGAGGAGTGACTGGTGGGTTTGAACTGCCAATCTGAGGTTAGCAGTCCAATGCATATCCTATAGCACCACACCAGGTCTTTTCAACAGGGTTGCTTACCACAAATTTCCTCTGCACAGCAGGTCCATTTATCAACAATGCTCATGACAACTTCACCTTCTCGTTTACAAATTGGTGAGGGCTCTATATGACAGTCAGATTCTATGGGAATAATACTTCCATTCTCCAAGCATTTGTATAGAGAGCATTCGTCAATACCTCCATTCCAAACTTCTCCAGCAGCACGGGGACGGTCTTCAAAATCAGTACATACTTGAAAGATTGACAACATTATGTCATTTATTGCCCAGACACTAAAATAAATCAAGCTGTAATATTTAATTTCAGAAATTGATACAGCTCACTGACATAGCTACCATGTCACATCCACTCTACTCAGGTTCCATTTCCCTTTAATAGACATTTTGACTTAGTCAGCTGGAAATATGTGTCCCTTCTATGTTTGTAAATGTGTATATCTTCTTCTATAAATGAGACATTTTGCTAATTTTTTAAAAAGTTTTTATTGTGAATTATGTGATAGTTTACATGAGACAACATCAGCTTTACATTCATCCTATGGTGTTTCATTTCAAATCCAATGATTACAATCCCCTCCATGCATCATCAAACAACCAAAGGGTACACACCACAAGCCTGCCTCTGGCCGCCAGCACACAGCCCCTCTCCCTCCCTGAGTCCAGAGTACCCAGTTGCTCCATCTCTCCATGTCATCATCTCTGCCTCCATCTCTGGTGTCACTGTTTCTCTGGGTAGGGTCCCACACTCTGCTCCTCTCCCTTGATGGTCCCAGGGACCTCCAATCCTGGACTGCAAAATCAAGCACTCCCCTCCTTTTGTTACAAAACCTCTACCTTTACATTTTCAACCCTCACAGTCAGTCCTGATAGCAGTTATTCACTATTGTACCACAAGAGTCTTATCCCCATCTCCTTTCATCAGGCCCATCCAGGCAGATTGGAAAGCACTCATTGGAGATTCTCCCTTACCTCAGACCCTTGGGAACTAGGCTCCCTCTTGAAAGCTTGTAAGCCAGTCACTTCTTGCCTTTGTAGCCCCCCTTCCCCTTTTGGGTAGCCAATGTCTAAGTTGCCTATCTCTGTTAACCCTGCATACTGAGGGGGTGAGAATGAACCTCCCTGTAAATATTTGTTCCCTCTTGAGCTACTACATCCATAAGTATAGGTCAAGTTCATCAAATTGTAGCAGACTTCTCTCTCTCTCTCTTTTTTTTTTTCCTCTTTCTTCTTCTAGTCGAGTTCTGATCATCCAGCCATTGAAGCTAAGTCAAGTGGGTACTATCTGCAAGTATGGATGTTCTTGTGCAGCTCCCCTCACTTAATATTAGCAGGATGCTTCATTCTCCACTCTAGTCCTTGGTGGCCATGTCACTAACTCTGGGTCCAGGAGTCCCCAGGTCTTGCCATACTGTTGGCCAACCAGGTCTCAATCCGGGTTCATAGGAATCTATTGAATGTGGTAGGGCTTAGCTTGCAGCTTCATTGCTGTTTTTCCCCCACTTCCCCTTATCAGTGGCCAACATGTTCACCAGCCAGACCACATGCCTGCTTCTGTATTCCCCTTGAATCTTAGTCTTGGAAGGGGGTTTACCCTGAGGGGACCCGGCTACTTGCCTTGATGGCTCCTGGGTGAACAACTTGATTGTTCTTGTAGTTGTCAGTTGGACTGTCGTTATTGTTTTTTATTTTTCCTGCCTGTCTTTCTTTCAAGAAATATCTTCTGCTATTCTAGCCGCTCCAGGCTGGTCTGCCTGTCCTTTCAAGCAGAAATTTCCCACCTCAGAAGATTCTGGATGGAGTTCAGGATTCCACCTATGGTTTTATGCAATGCAAAGGGTCCGCAGGAAGCCTCCTTCACTGGGAAAGTTCTTGCCCCATTTTAGGTATTCTAATCAGGTAGCTCTGGTAGCGTAGTGGTTACGAATCGGGCTGCGAACCGGAAGGTCAGCAGTTTGAAACTACCAGCCGCTCCGCGGGAGAAAGATGAGGCGATCTGCTCCCGTAAAGATTTACAGCCTCAGAAACCCTATTCAGGGTCGCTATGGGTCGAAACCGACTCGACGGCACTTAACAACAACAACAACAACAACAATCAGTTATTGGCTGAAGATGGACTTACAAGCTTTCTATGGTGATGTTTCTGGCTATTCCTTTCTCTCTCCCTCAAATGTCTATTTTACAATGGTAGGCAAGGGAAACCAAGATTCAAAAGACAGACAAGCATCTTAACATTATTTCCCCTCTTTTAGCATTCAAACCATGCCTCAGTCCCTGTATCACAGAGCCCTGTTGTTCCAAGGTTGTGCATACATCATTATATATCTCTGTCACACTTAGCCCATCCAAACCTGTCTAACTGTTCTCCGATCTGCTTTGTTCTTCCATTCCCCTCCCCCTTCTTGTGTGTTTTCCCCCTCAGCCAAGCACCCAAGCTATCCTGTGTCTATTCCCTACCCTGTGCTCACCTTCCCCACCCTCCCCTCAACCCACCCCATACAACCCGGTAAAGAGCTAATAATTTTTCCCCCTCTTTGTGTGGGTTCTTCTTCTTAATCTTTTACAATAATGGTCCTATGCAGTATTTCTCCTTTTGGGACTAATTTCACTCAGCATAATGTCCTCAAGGTTCATCCGTATTATGTGGTGGCTTGCAGCTTCCTTGTTATTCTTCAAGGTAGCATAATATTCCATTGTGTGTATGCACCAAAGTTGTTTATCCATTCTCCTCATAGTTTGAATGTTACATGTTCGTCTTGGATTTTCATTTTCTGGGTATGTTATGAAGTATTATTTTTCTTTGAGGTTACCTTACATTCCATTAACTTTCCCCTCCATTTAATGCAGTCTTTTTTATCCTATAATCTACCTGACCGTCTCCCCATCTCTGTTCCTATGTGTTTACCTTAATTCACACTGTAATTGTTTTGATCAAAGACTGACCTCCCAGATCCACTGACTTTGTTCTTAAAGTTTCATTCTGTTCTCGGCTCTTTGTCTATTGAATTCTGGGTGGTGCTGCCACATATGTCAATCTCTGGTTGTTGTCTGTTCTTGTTGGTTCTTAGTCCATAGAAATTCCTTTAGGATGTTTTGCAGCACAAGGTTGGCTTTGGAAAAATCCCTTAGCTTCTATTTACCCAAAATGTTTTGATTACACCATCATATTTGATTGACAGCTTTGCTGGATATAGGATTCTTGGTTGGCAGTTGTTTTTTTTTCTTTCACGGTTTTATATATGTCTCCCCATTGCCTTCTTGCCTGAATGGTTTCTGTTGAGAGATCCAAGTTTAATGTGATTTTCTTGCCTTTGTATGCTACACTTCTCTTTTCCCTAGCTGCTTTCAGGACTTTGTCCTTATCTTTGATTTTGGAGAACTTGATTATTATATGTCTTTGTGATTTTCTTTTAAGGCCTATACTTCCTGGGGTTCGTTGAGCTTCTTGATTGCTTATCTTTTCACTTTTCAGGATGTTACGAAAATTTTCTTCTAGCAGTTCTTCAATGGGTGATTATTCCTGTTCTGGAATGCCAATAATTCTTGTTATTTCTCTACATGTTATCTGACATGAATTTGAGACATTCTTCAGATTTTTTTCATCCTTTATTCCACTTGCTCTTCTATTTTAGTTGTATTGAGATATTTGTCTTCCAGCTCACTAGTTCTGGCTTCCATCTCCTTCAATTCTACTTTTTTGCTTTTCCACGTATTGTTCATTTCTGATATTCTATTATTAATCATTTGGATCTCTTTCTGTAGGTTTTGAATTGTTTCCAATCGTGAATCTACTTATTTTATTGTTCCTGTAGTGCTTTCCTGACTTCTTCCTTATTTTTCTCAACTCCATTGTAAAGTGTTTTGATACATTTTATAATCATTTTTCTGAATTCCTTTTCCAGCATTTCCAAGGCCTGCCCTCCTCCCAGTATGGAGTGTAGGTTTACCTCAAGCTCATTTGTCTCAGTCACTTTATCTTGTTTCTGGACATGTGTTGATATGGTCATCTGCTTCTGCGTCTTGTACAGGTTCAGTAGTTAACTGTGCCCCTAATACTTAATTGAGTGTGTGTTTTGGTATTTTGTATGCTTTCTTATTGCCTCCAGGCAGATGTTATCAGGAAATGGGCTTCCCTTTTCACTCTTCTTATTACTCAACTCAGATTAACTGTCACAGGTGTTGTCTGCATATGTGGTATATGGTACTTGGTATTAGTTCTTGCCTGGATTGTGGGGTTTTATAGGATGTGGTTGTAACTTGACTATATGATAGCAATGCTGTCTCTTCTTGGGTAATATAATGAGAGAAAGAGCCCCCTAAAGGTAAAGAGAGGACCAAAAAACAAAACAGCAAACACAAAACAAAACAAAATAATAAAACAAAACAAAAACAGATTGGATTCTGTAGTCTGTAATTTCAGAAAAGAGAGAAGAGGGAAATAAAATTCTGTAGCCTAGTATGAGTATGATTTTAATATCTTCTTTCAGCTTCTTGCCTTCAAGGCCTCCTGAGAAATTTCAAGATGCTACTGTTGGTTGTTATGATGTAACTCAGGATTTAATATTCAGCCTGTTTGATTTTTAGACTTTCTCCTGATCCACAGCTCTTGTATTTTCCTTTTTCCTAGTGATAAACAGCTCTGGGCTGGCTGTGACCATTTTGTGCTGGCATTTGTCTTTAAGTGGGATCTGTCCCTTTAAATGCTGAGAAGATCTGTGCATATGTATAGTAGAACCTTTCAGGTGTGGGGAGTGTCCTCTCACTCAGGCACTCCCTCTACTCACCAGAATGGAGGTGTGCAGACAGCACAAGAGGCCAATGAACAGATAGCAAAAAAAAAGAAAAGTCCACATCTTTATCTCTGAGGTTCCAGCAGGCATCAATCCATGGCAGCTCTGATCCTTCTCCCTCTTGTTCCCACTGCTTGGTCTGCCCAAAATGGTGGCTCTGGGCTGCTGAGCCAGTTTGAAAGTTCAAGATTTCTTGCTTCTACTACAAATTCCACTGGCTATAGCCTTCAAACTTTTTAAATATTCCTACATATGTGGTTCAGAGTTTGAGAACTGTTCCCTGAACCTGCTTCATCCAGTATTCTGTGTTATTGCTGATGGAGCTCCTCACTGCACTTCTATCCTATCCACCAGCAAGTCCCACTCTCCCACTATTATTTTTGATACATTTTGTTGTTAAGTGCTGTTGAGTAGATTCTGACTGATGGCAACCCTGCACAGGGTTTCTGAAGTTCTGTGGGAGGGGGGAGCAGAAAGCTTCATCTTTCTCTTGGACTGCCGATCTTGTGGTCAGCAGTCAAGTGCTCAGCTTAAAGAGCCCTAGCTCTCCTTTACACATTTTAGTCTTTTAAATAAAATAGCCATTAGTTGAAACTAAATCAGTAATGTAATTTTAAATATTTAAAATATTAAATAGAAAGTTATATAGTTGGAG